CAGGCCCTGGAGGTCCCTGGTGGAGCAGATGAGGTCTGGGCTGGAGCTGCTGGAGGAGGCGGCTGCTCTTCATGTCCCTCAACGCGCGTCCCTCGGTCTCCCAACAGGCGACGGGACGGACCGCAAGAAGAAGGAGCCTGAGCCCGCGGAAGAGGACAGGGTGATGCCAGAAGGACCCAGAGGGGACCCCCAGGAGCCCAAGGTCCAGGGCTTGGCCCACGACGTCCCGCCCCAGCCAGACAACAAGCGAGGCCGCCCAAAACCGCGGAGGCGCCGAAATTGCTCTTTCCAAGGGACGTACGCCGACAGCCTCCACGAAGAGGCGGCCCAGCCGAGGAGCAGCTCCCGGCGGAAGGTCTACAAGTGCGTGGACTGCAAGAAGGTCTTCGCCTGCTCCAGCAGCCTGACCCGCCACCGCCGGATCCACACGGGAGAGAAGCCCTTCCAGTGCTTGGATTGCGGGAAGAGCTTCAGGCAGAGCGTGGTCCTCCTGCGCCACTGGAGGACGCACACCAAGGAGAAGCCCTTTCTCTGCACCACGTGTGGGAAATGCTTCTCCTGGCACTCGGACGTCGTCAGCCACCGGCGGACCCACAAGGGGGAGAAACCGTACGCCTGCTCGCGCTGCGAGAAGGCCTTCGGGACGAGGTCCCGCCTCGTGAAGCACCAGCGGGTCCTCCACAACGGTGAGCCCTGGAAAAGGGGGTTGGCGTGGGGTGTCCCACGTCCCGGTGGAGCGGTGGGCGGTGGGGACGGGCTGGAGAAGCCCGTGGTGGGGGCTGTGCCGGGATTCGCGCTCCTACGATGGGGTGGGAGATGTCACTGGGGATGGGTTTTGCTCTGGCCTTAGGTTGGGTTGGCCTGTTGGTGGGGATGGTCCTGCTCCGAGCTGGGGGGGTTGGACCCCAGACCTCCACGGAGCGGCGTTGCGCTGGAAGAAACTCCTCCATGCAGGAGGGGGTTCGTGGGTTGGGCTTGGTGACAGCAAAGGGTCTCCAAGAACCTTTCCCAGGTCCGTTGGTGGACGTGGAGGCCTCTCTTCACCCCTCCTCCACCGCTGCAACCCCCCTCCTGGGTCTTCCCAACTGGCCTGGCTTGGGTTTCTCCTCCATCCTTGGTCGTGGAGGTCCCGTCGGTGCCGTGGCTGTGTCGGGATTCCCAGCGCGGCAGAGGCGATGGGGTGGGAG